GGTTTTTCGAAATGATGATGAACAAGTTTTCTACTGGCAGCTAATCACTGCCACTATCAACAATGAACGAGTGTTTTTCAGCATGCACAGGCAATCGACCTTCGTGGCATGCTACGATAAATTGTGACCTTTTGTTTTCAGCAACATACCGAGCTTTCAGGGGCCTAGTGAGTTTGCTAATTGCTAATTGATTAGTTAACTCGGGAGTTGGCCAAGTTCGTAACCATCAGTCCACCATTATATAGATATTTCCTTATTATTTATCGGTGCCTGAACCGTTTTCCGTGAGAATGATATTCATAGATGTGATTAGCTAAGGGTGCCTTTCCATTCGTATTATTGGATCCTTGGCTGTTTGTGTTTGCATTACTTTTACTCAGTTAGTTGGTCGAGTGACTACTGTTTTTGTTGGAGGGGGATGAGTTGGCCTCTGTCCTGATTAGCCGGTTTCGGATTTGCGCTAAACCGTGCTCCTGTGTTTTCCTCGTGGTTAAAGTTCTTTCTGTCTTTGACTTGCCCGTCCCTGGATTACATGGAGTCTGATTTATCCGAGGTTTGATCGGTTGGTTGCAATAAGCTGATTATTGTAGATTCAATTATCGTGCTGGATGACCTTGCTTGTTCATTTTTTACTTCAATCATTCTTGGCCCAGTAAAGCTGTTTGATTTATTGGTTGAATATGTATTCCTGTTAAGTTCTTCGAGCTTTTGAATTTCCAAAGCGTCTTCTCCGGTCCCCACAGTAGCACTACTCATTGTACTGCTTGGGTTCTCTCGGAACAATTTCAGAGCATCCTGGTGGTCTTTTTGGCAGAGCATTACGCTTCTTTTATTCAGGTTCCTCATCTGTTGTTGTTTGGGTTGACAGACGAGCGTCTTCCTAGACAACTTAATTTCCAGGCTGATCTTCGTGCGCGCAGACGTGTAAACTTTGATCCTCTTCTAATGGTAAATTTGTGATTTGTTGTGAGGCAGAAAGCTTCCTTCAATTCTGAGTTGAGACTTGCTGTCATCAATGTATTCACAGTTACCCTGGTGTTGACAGTTCTTTTCACAAGGGATAAGTAAAACACTGTTCCAGCTGCTGGTCTCATCTAAGGTAACAAGAAATGGGCCGCAACTCGACAGAAAGATCATGCTTGCTCTGCTCACATCAGGGTTACGAAATGATGCGTGGAGGCACGTATGCCGGTGAAATATCAGAAAATCCTCGCAGCTGTTCATTGAAGTAAAGAAGTGAAGTAGGCAAAAGCCGTACTGTCAGACCTATTCAAAACGCTAGAATTTGCAATGACGCATAGATCTCATTCCGGGCTGTATACCGCCCAAACAGAATCTCTCGTTTGTTTTAGGAGGAAACCACTTTTTTGTTTGCAACAAATTCCTTACTTTCGTAACTCGCTCTTACATCTCTAACTTGAACAGATGCGCTTCATCTATTCACAACCCTAACCTTGATCAGTGTTGCATGGTCTTAGTCTGTGCACCTTCTTTGTCTCCCCAGAAGTTATATATATATATATATATATATATATATATAATGCAATGGCCGTAAATATCATTGGGCTGCCTTTGGACCTGAGTAACACGATAAAAAGAAATACTCAAAAATACGTTGAATACTCCTTATAATGGGCGTTACTGATATCACAATACAGATTAAACACCATTTCTCTCTCCAACCCGATGTTATAAACCTGGTTTTGTGAAACGCGCATGGTTTCATACATTCAGATAATTGCAAAATTCACTAACTGAGCAGCCTTATCCCGAATTTGTAGCTTGTCTGATACATCCAATGCGCACACTGCAAACTTGCTGGAAACAAAATTAATCATGCAAAAATCGTCCGAAGTGCTTTGGAATATTTTTATGACTCTTTTAACTATTTATTTGATGAGGATATCTAGTACGACCCTCAGGGAACTTTCTTCATACGTCCTACGTTATTGTCATATAGGACAGTAATACTGTGCACACCAGTATTGTTAACAACCCCACTTAACTTGATGTTCGATATTCTCAGCCGGTTAGTAGATGGTTTCGGTTAGTGGACCAACAAAGCAGGTGTGAGTAGAATAAGGAAACAAAAACGAACCAGGGACACAATTGTGTTGCGCGGTGTTGCACCAATATAATCCTGCTTACCTTGTTGATCCTGTCCAATAGTCCAGAAGGCTATCACCAACGGAACAAATAAGTAATAAACGGCCTTGACCTTTTCCTGGCTCGACCAGATAAAACTTAGTCAACTACGAATGTCGTATTCTTCCAGTGTCGGTCGACAGGTAGGGGAAGTTATACTTTCCGATGTTGCCGCTGAATTTGCCCAACAACTCGTAACTAACGGTGCTGCCATGGTGTACTCAGACCATTATCGTCTTATCTGGCTGCTTTGTGTTCGGAAATTTGTCAAAACAATTTTCATACGAACAGATCTGGTTGAGTTTTCACGAAATATAGAATCAAGAACTCTTCTTTTCTTTAGTGGCATATCTTCTCAACAGTTCTGTGCATAGGAGCACACCGCTGAGGGGATGGGTTGTAGAGTCTGAAAGTTCCCGATTACGCTTATCTATGGGCTATGGTATACACTTTGATGAGACGTGCCTGAGCGATCACCAACGCTGAAAAATTAAACCCTGTGGACCCCATATCCAAGACCGAATCATGGTCACGGTTGATATGTCTGATTTTTCAGGCTGAAATACCTCTCAAATGAATAACTGAAGGTAAATGCAAATGAAATGTGTATGCAAGTAAATGGAAAGTCATATCATCAGATCAGGACAGCAGACTAGTGCCTTAATGGTTCCTTATTTGAAACTGCGTGATTTTTCTTTAGAATACATAAACTGAACGAAGATGTTAATATCTGCAGCAAAAATTGTCAAACCTATTTTGAACTGTTTTGAGCAAGCGGTTGAACAGGATCGTAGTGTCAGAGAAACTCGGGCCGACCGTCTGCGATAATGAAGCACCCATTGGTGACAGATAACTCAGCTGAACTCGACTATGGGCTGTCAGTAAAGCACTGCCTATCCGGATGCGGAGTCTTAATTCATGCACGCGGAGTGACACTTCNCTGAACCGCTTCACTTGTCTGCCGGTGGAGGCAGATTGACGTGAAGGATATCCTGTTTTCACGCTGCACTGTACCATCGTATGCATGTGCTCATATTTTCACAACTTAAAATTAGACATCAGAGTTCTAGATGAAACGTTTTACTGAACTCACCCGATTTCTGTAGCTCTTGTCAGTGCTAACACATTCGACAGCGGCGGCACAGATTTGCTAGTCTGGGCATTAGATTATATCTACTGCCGGTGGCTGTTTTGTTGTCATGTTTTCTTCGAAGCTAGACTTTTCAAATCATAATGCCTGTTTGTTGGTTTCAATGTACTGTGAATAGTTGCTTATGGTTAGTTTCATTCGTTTAATCACTGCAGCGAAGGTATTCAGCGGGCTTCGTTTGGCCACATTACTCTGTCAGTTGCAGCAGGCACATTTTTCCTGTTGATTGCTAGTTTAATTGAGGCTAACTTATCATGATTTTCAACTATCTTGAAAACTGATTCTGCGTACCAATAGCCAAATTATAGCTGATAAAAATGAACGGCGGTCTATGGTGATTCGGCCACTGCGGGTGGCTGCTAAACGTGCTGAAGAAATCAACAAATCTTGTGAATGAAAATTTAAACACTGTCGAGTACGTTCGATTAGCAAATGGAAGAGAATGGCGATATCAATACCTCTCAGTAGTGTGCAGTTTAATTGACTTTATGTATCATAAAATAACCCACCTCTAAAAAACGGCTTAACGCAACGGACAGCTAGTACATTTTGAGGACATTAGTAACAAATTCAACCCGAGTGACATCGAAGGGTTCTGGGATTTTGTGAAATGGTTACAGTGGTAAACAAGTTGGCGAAAAGAGGACGATCTGCTTGCAAGGCCACTTCTTAGTTTTTATCAACAAATTAATGTCCCGATGAGCGGTAACAGTGCACGTCAAACTGCAAATTGTTACTTATTGAGCAAAACTTGTGAAATATCCACATTCTACCTTGTTGATGCATATTGAATCTTGCTGCTAAGGCGCATCACACCAAAAACTGAGAAAAAGTCTAGCTCCATGAATACATTTTTTGGTAGCCAGGGGATATAAGTCGCCATCCATCCTTTAGTGCACTATCCGTCGATCGGCATTTTTCCACTTCCCTTACATTTTTCAAGTACCATATTTTTTCTTTCAATCTGGTCGTTGGCTTGTTCGCCGAGCTGGGCAGTTTGATTGCAAACGTTTCATCACCAATCGAGGTAACATCGTCAGTGGGTTGTTGGGGAGCGCAGTTATGCGTAGTGGTCGGTTAGTGGTTTATTTCTATTTGTCAACAAAAAAGTCGCAGAGTTATATTGTTAACTAGAAGCTTTTTTGAGGATGAAGGGTTCTTGTGATACTCTGGTCGAGAGTTTGAGGTGTTGGTGGACAAGAGTGGAACCGTGACACATCATCCAGAACACAGTCTGTATTCTGTCCTGACTGAAAGGATGTGACACAACATTCTGGGGACGTTTGATTCCATCCCGTTATCATACCAACGTACAGCGGATAATTCAAACCGAATCACAATGCATAGAATTTTTGGTCATAAGATCATATCTAAATGAGCTGAATGTGAAGCTTGGATGTCAACAGTTCTCCGGCACTGCTGGCATCATTGTGCAAATCGCGTACACTTTTGAACGCCTTAACTTCATTTTGATTGAATGTCCAGCATGGCTTTTAACGAGTACTGTGGAGACTTTGAGACATCTCGCGAAGAATACTTCAAGCAGTTAAGATGGGGGCGTGGTTGATGAAATGGAAAATAAAATAACTCAGCTCTCCTTCGCCTTGTTCTTTAGATATTGTTGTCAGTCTCTCTGTAGGAACGTTAATGGATCTTACCTTAGTGGGCTTCGAACATTTTGCAATAGGTAACGTGACTGACTAACCTCGGAGTCCCACTTGTCCAACCCACTATTCAACTCCAGGGTATAGTCTCTCCAGCACTGTAAACCTGCTATTTTTGTGCGAGTTTCGTTATATCTACATTGTATCAGGCCGATTGTTTCGTGAAACTTTTTGGAACCTGCCTCATCACCATCGAACACACTGGAATAAATCACTGCAGAAAATGAGCGAGTCAACTTTTCCAACATTTTCAAGATAAACAGTATAGTTTTACCTTTTGAAATACAGTGATTTGATTACTCTGAGTGCTACCAAGCTTGCACAAGCCTTTTTTTCATGCACTTAACTAGACAAATTTGACTGACATGCACTCATTCCCCTGAGTATGCCTCTTCATCACGTTCAGCTTGAAGTTTCTGTCCCATCAATCATTGCTCCCACAGTCAGTAATCTTGTTTGATTGAGTGTTTTCCAGCTTTTAGTTCAAATTTCTAAGTGCAGTGTTCATCTAAACAGAAAAAAACTATCAGATACCTGGTGGACTCAAACAGCAATAAATCTCGTACGATTTTATCCTGGCTAGAAAAAGAATTCCAGATTTCATCAGGAACGTTTTGGTTATTGTGAAATCTATTTAATGTTGGGACTAGTCAGAATTCAGTGAGGTTATAATAGATGAAAGCTGTTTTTGAGTAGGTTCAGTTAAATTTTATTTCTCACTAAGCTCCGTTTACAGTTGCCTGACTACCGCTATTGTGACAAATTAAGATTGCCAGGTTCACTAAAATTGTTAGATCTAAGAATGATTGTCTGGCTTGCAGATAAGTTGCAACATCTCTTGTTCAAAATAGGGTGCGAGAGTGTTAGGGCTTACTTTTGCTACGGGGAATGGTAACAGCAACTGTATTCAGATCGCCATTGAAAAAGCAACACAATTTATTAGTCCCTTAGGTCTACTTATTTTACAACAGATTGTTAAGCTGCTTGATTTTACGTGCCAAACACAAGAGGGATTGTCTATGTGAATAGGCGAAAGAGGTCTCCGGACAGGACATGGTGAACAATCGATAAAAAAATCATTTTGCGAAATTACCTTAGGTCTACTTATTTTACAACAGATTGTTAAGCTGCTTGATTTTACGTGCCAAACACAAGAGGGATTGTCTATGTGAATAGGCGAAAGAGGTCTCCGGACAGGACATGGTGAACAATCGATAAAAAAATCATTTTTGCGAAATTAAACCAACCAAATATGCCTGAGGTAATAGGCCGTCAAAACAATGACTCACCACAGACTCGGTAGGACGACGGTGAATAGATAACGAGAAACAAATATATCTAAATAATTATTTTAACACTGGTTTAGGTCGGACAGGATGCTAAATTTTCTGTACCGCTGAGCGGCTTACCACCTAGCTCCTCATTCCCATCATGGATAAAAACCCGTGTGGTAATACCGTTTCTGGTCTTTTCACAAACGCTTCAAAGAGCTTCGAAACCTTTTGAGTGTTCCTTTGGTTTCACCATTTCTGTCATATGTTACACGTTTAGAGCCCTCAATAATCAATTACTAGTATTCAATTAAGCACTTACTTAGGCAGTCACAACCTTTCAACGGCTCAGCTAATCCCGACAGGTTGTGTATTTCCTCTGTAGGTTTGCCTACGCCCAAAATGCATCTGCCACTCAGACTAATAGCGGAAATTTCAGCCAATAACATCATATGTATCTAATCTATTCTAATAAGATTAAACTTGTTTCAGGCCACTGTTTTGACGCTCTTTGGAGAAGGAAAATGACAAAAAACTAATTGTTTGTACTAAACGCTAATCAGAAAGTTATATGCTAGCTTTCTCTCTCTCCAGCATTTCCATAATACGTATGTACACTTACCAGGAACGCAAGTTTTTAACCTGATGGTCGCTGGGACCAGTTTGTTTGCAAACAATTCATCACCAGTCGAAGTTAAGTCACTACTGAATATACAAGGAGGCTTCTATGAAGTGCACTGCGACCGAAACATATGGAGTGATGAGCACCCCACTGTGAGGGGTATATTCAGAATGTGAAAAGCAAAAACTTGGTATGGAAGCATAAATGACATAGTGCACAGTGATTGACACGCCTCTACGCCTCACTCCGCTCCTCTATGATCTTGTTTGCTACGGTGTGTGAATACTACGGGGTCTCGTGCCACCAGTATAAGCTTGGTCGAGATGTCGCATCTTCCATTCCATGTAAGAATTGACGTCTTAAGCAGCTATCTATGGACAGTCAATTGTCATTGAATATGACCATGTCCTAGGAAAATCGCTCCACTGAAGCACAAGGGATTCATTCACTCAAACAACTACTTTTTGTCTGAAATGATGAATTTGTGTCATTGCCCCGACCGATGTGTTTCTTTTTTCTCGTAACGTCGTACTTGCCCATCATACGATAAATAACGCGGAATGAATAATTTAAGGTCTCAAAGTGATCAGTCTAGAGTACCCAGGGACTTTATCTTGTTGCGTCTTCAGCTATACTAGAAGCGAATGTTCATCCTTTTTGCGGCTTATAGTCCACTCCGTTTTTTCACAGTAAGGTGGTACCAGCAAGCAAAGCAGTGGTTCAGTATGATATGTCAACTTCCCATACACCTAGCCCAATTTGACTGCTAATCGGCCCGAACAATGGCAATGTAAAGATAGATTCAATGATTTTATCCAACTTCTTATTTGAACTATTAAAAAAATGTGAAAACCTCACTTGTTCCATAGGACAGATTAAAGCGCACAGTGAAGAAAACTTGGTATTTTGTAGTAGTTATCAGTTTAAATACATCACCAAGTTTTATGAAAATAACCACTGGTGACGTATATTCTAAGTTATATTTAGGATTTCACGGGTAAACTGTAAAAATCCGAGTGGTCTTGTAACTGGTAGAAGACCGATTGACACCATTTTCTGCTTTAGGCAAACCTACTTGTAGTTTAGTCACCAAAATATCTTGGACTGCTATCCTATGGCTTGATGAGAAACCAATTGTTTTTTTTTTTCAAAATCAAAACGTAGCTGTTTGCGATAGTGAGGTTTACCCTATGGATAAGAGTAATGCTGATTTCGCCGACTGTCTACTCAGTCACTTTTGGATATACCTAGGCTAACCCTTGAGTCATTTTGCACGCACAAGTAAAGAAGTGAAACATAATTGGCAACGGAACCGTTGCACTCAATTGTCCCAGCTCATGGAACAAGCCAACGACCGGTTACTAGACGTGCACTACCAGCATTATCTTAAATAGGAAAACTGTTCAACCTTACGTCTTAGATCGGACTGTGAAATCTGGATACAAACAAGAAGGCAAACCGATGTATATAGTGACATCTTGTTTTATCACTATGCATTAACTGTCCAGCGCCTTATACTGGGGTTTCCCCGTGTAAGTTAGTAGAAATGTACGCAGTACGTTGTAGGTGATACGAAACTCTGAGCTATTCCAACTTTTATTCTTAAATATGTTGGCTATCAACGATCGTTGAAGCTCTCAGCCTTTTTTGCATAGCGTGAGGACAGAGAAAAACAGAGCCGGCCAGCCAGCTTTCGCCACTTCATCCACTTTGTCTATCCACTCGGTGGACGTCCATTTGGGGCTAACCTCAAGACCAGTGTATCGGGCATGGTTGATTCCTTTTTTTCACTATCGGGATGTACTTGCAAAAACCCTACAAAAAAGTTATAGAACAGAACAAACACGAAAGATAACATAATTTTGCAGCAAGTAGAGAACTGCAACCAACTTTGGCAGCGAAAAAGCCCCCAACCACCAAAGCCTATAAGGCGAAAACCACGAGATCATGATTCCTGTTTCAACGGTTTTAGAAAACTAATCAGTATTCTGTAAAAGGTGACAGACCCAAACACCGGCACCCAGCTGTGTGCACAAGGAGTTTTGACAGACCAATTTACACTCATTTGCAAACTAATTTGGTTTTTCGAGTGTATATTCGCCAATTTAGGGCAATTTGGTTTCAAGTACAACATGAGGTTGACGGAGAGTGCGCCTACGTGCTGCGCCCCCAAAAAGGCGAAACCGATCTGTCGACGGATTTTCAGCAACCTTATGAGCAGTACATTACAAAGAGTCTTGACTGAATTTCGAAGTAGCCTTTGGCATTTGTATAAGTCTGTCATGGGCTTCTACAAACGTTTGGTACGGTGCACCGATTACTATATATACAGTATATAATATATCCAGATAGTTGCCAGTTTTTCACTGGCGAAAGTCGCATATTAAATATGCTCATATATATACCGGAAGAAATTTAATGTTAGTTTTATTTGATAAATATTCCACTAGTCATTGTAAAGCTTACCGTTCATCAGTAACATGTGAACTATATTAATTATGACCATCGGGAAGGAAGTGTTGTGCGGACGATCATTTAGCTTGAAGCTAATCTACCTTCAAATAAAGCGTCAAAATTCTTCAGTTTTATTGATTTCTTACCCTTTGATGAACCTCACGAATCACAAACCCTTGTGCTGGCAGTAACTTGAACCATGAGAAACAAAAGGTATCAGCTTTGTTAGAAAGAATCGTTTTTCTTCACCACAACACACCCATGGTACACTGTTCCTAATAAAATAGTCGCAGTAGTGTCATGTCTTCAGCCAAAAACTCTTACTGACAGAGGTATTTTTAGATTGATTTTTCACATTAATCGAGGAAAAAAGATCAATGAAATGTAATTCGTAGCATTTGTACAGTCCCCTAACCAATAACCTTTTCACATACCATAAGACCATCCAAAAAACCTATTGCATGATGATAAAAAGCCTGACACAAACTTACTGCAATACCTGTTGAAATCGCTTCTCGCAGCTAAAACTATTCCTTATTCAAAGACCGAGAAAAACTACACAATCCCATTTGGAACCATCTAATTTGTGCGTCTCGAGAGGCGTTAAAGAACTTTTGGCCCCCTTGTTCTTCCAGTACGTAGCTGGGTATTATGATATTTGGCCTCCATTGACTTTCATGAACTTTTTCAGTTCGTATTTAGACAGGATATTTATACCACCACTTTTGACCCAATTTCATGCCACGTGATTCTGTATTGACTGATACCTCGACAACGACGAATTCTCAAGACCATCTGTGCTTCCGTTCGAAACAGTTTTAGTGTGCAACAAGTGGAAGACAAATTAGACCACCTTGTGAGCAGTATATTGATGGTGATTTTCATAGACGGATGCTTCAAAAAGCGATAAAATCAGATTGCAGTAAGCATCAAACAGATCACTCCTCAGCACAAAAGAATTAACTCCGTTTTAGATAAGTTTTGCGGGATTCACCATCGTTAGATGTGGCTGATACGATAAGGAGCGTTACTTCTGTAAGGAGCATCCGTACCTTTTAATAGAGTTTTGCTTCTAAAGAAAGATTTCCAGTCAGTAGCCAGCTCAAGAGAGAGATTTCCCCCACATCCTTAAGTTTTCCTCCAGTGATCTATGGCCTGAAATTCAGAGAAATGCAAAGTTCCCAATGTGCATTTGTTCTCTCTACTTACGATGATGTTTGACTGTGTCCGGGATAGTGCTGCCGATGTCCCCTAAAAAAACAGGTGGTCACGCTGTTTTGTTTCCGGATGTGTCTATCAGTACAGTGATTTCTCGGCGCCATTTAGCATCACTTCCTGCCCGATACTGACGGTCACCCTGGTGACGTATTGTAATAAAAACCTTCAACGAGTAAGTTTGAAAACCACGTGTAACCGACGCTTTTCAAGGCCATAGTGGAGCACGTGAAGTATCTGTGTCGCGCTGCTTTCCGTGGGTATAAATCTGAAAATTAGTCGGTAATATCAAACCAGTTATGAGCTTTAAAAACAAGTGCAAAATATCCGCAAAAATGTTTGGTCAACTGGGAAACTAGGCCTAATATGCATAAGGCCATGTTGGGTAAAGAGAAATACTGCACCAACTCAGGCACTTGTTTTGTATAAAAACAGTCAAGAGAACGAGCTTCTGTATTTTTTAAAAAAATATCCGCAAAAATGTTTGGTCAACTGGGAAACTAGGCCTAATATGCATAAGGCCATGTTGGGTAAAGAGAAATACTGCACCAACTCAGGCACTTGTTTTGTATAAAAACAGTCAAGAGAACGAGCTTCTGTTATTTTTTTTTAAAAAAAAACCCGTAGACAAGAATTGGTATATCTGTACACGGGTGAAAATGAGCAAAAGTACATTGAAGTGCGATGTGTAAATAGTTTGTAAGCGCATGACATACCAAGACTCAATAGCGTTTTTTATTTTAAAATCGCAACTTGATTGAACCATGTTCCATAGAGGCATCCCTGAAAGTAATGCATCCCTGATTCAGGGCACCTCTGCTTTTATACTTCTGACAAATTCAATTCCAAACGGCGTGAGAACATTTCATTTATTTCGCCCGGTGATAAACCTTTTCAAAATAATGTCTCTTTTAAATTACGACCCCGTTCCTCTGACACAGAGCAATACTTGTTTGTGTAAGGACTAGACCAAAATGTATGCAGAAAATTAAAAAAAAATTCCTGGCTGTTAAATTTTACCCGGTCACTGTCCATCGCAGACCAGACCAGTCAAACAAACGTGTGTTTTGACAGCGGTTATTTGTTTTGAAAAATTCACGGGGAAGCAAATTTTTTGTCTGCTTCCAGCAATTACCCAATGAGAACAAACTCAAGGGAGATCACTGGCTTCGGAGAATCTATCTACAGTAAAATGAAATTATTTAAGTTAGTTTTATTTAGATTCCTCCTCGGAGAAACATATTTGAGCAAACAATGATGAATTCCAGACATCAGAACTGGCTTTCTTACCTAACTCAGGTTTTTATTGTCACGAAACCCAAAGAATCAAAAAGTGGTTTCCAACTTTGATTGTAGACCAGGTGGTTACTAATCCTTTCTCCGAGTATAAGGATTTGTTTGTTTTGTCACCAGTGATAGACATATCGTCATTACACCGAGAAGGTGTTCTGTGAGCAAACATGATGTTCTCACGATTTGTTTCGAAACGTTGTCAATTAAATTACCAAGCTTTGTACACTGATCAACAGTCAACTAATATGAAACCAAGTAACATGCCCAAGCTACCATTTTATCGGTTTTCGTCCCTGCTGTAGGATTTGGTGCCACTCTTCCACTGTCCCAGCAAATTGGGATGCAGGCAAACCTGGATGAAGTAAAGGATGATGACGTTATTTTCCTTGGTGTAAATTGATATTTTACCATTGATTTTTTTATCAGCGGCTATATTTATACTACGAATAACCTTGTGATATTTGATATTCAGGTGAAGTCTTGTCAAGTTAACGTGAACAATCCATAAGCTGGAGAAACTAATCCGGGAAGTCTGTGAAACGAGCATTTAACTAGGAACCTACCTCACTCAAAACAAGTTAAATCCAGTTTAACGGAAAACAGATGCTGAATACTGACCAGGTTATCCTGAAATGGGGATCAAGTGGTCAAACACAGAACCTTGTTGCTAATCCACAAAGCAGTGCTACGAATGATACATGCTGGATCAATAGTTAATTATCTAAATGGCTCTGAAATTTTGAAAAGTTTGAAAATATCAAGTTAAAGAAGTCAGCTGATGACCTGCAGATTATTTGGGTTCGGGTTACAAAAAAGTTACGAGATGACGTGGAGGAATAGTTCAAATCGATCTAGGTAGTAGAAAAGATAGAGATTAATTACCCTTGTGTGGTTGTCCTCATTTTATCACGCAATCCCCCAAGTTTCGAAAAAAATTTGGGTCACCAGGTATCTAACAGCAACAAAATAAAGCTGCCAAGCAGTGAGCTGAACGAAATGTTACCTGAATTCAAGGTTGAATAGCTACTAATTCCAGAAGTCTACAGAATGAGAGAAAGCGGAGTAAGGTGAGGGTAAGGGGAGTAATTACTGAATTTTACCCTGCGTTGAGGGCGCAGGATAAAAAATTCATGTGACTCCAAGTGAACCACACTGACACCAAAATATGATGAGTGATGCAGCATTAAAAATTTAGAGTTAGAAAGTCGATCCTAGCAAAGAATCAAAATTATGAAACGTATTCCATGAGTAGATGGACGACGGAACGTTAGTATCTCTTTATTAGGTATAAGGAGTGAATAGACAAACACGAATGATGAACAAAACACCACGATGTGCGTCAGTACCCGCATAAAATTTCTGCAAGCCAGCATGACCGACTTTGATACTGTGACAGACATAATTATGCTTTCATAAATCTGTTTCTTCTCACAAAATGATGATTTTGTTTTTATAATGATAGAACCACCCTGAATTTGGAAGCACAAAAGCCAAATCTTGATTTGCAGATGCTGATATAGCATGTGGGTATTTAACATACCAAGATGTATAATTATTTCAAATCCACGCTCCCTGACGTGTACTTTTAGCACACTTTCGAGCAATCCCAACAGAGCAGGGTCCGTGTGAACAACGTGATTCTTGAACCCACTTAGCCTGTGGCAGATCCTAAAATATTTTTTCCTCGCCGAAACCGAGTTAACAGGAAATGAAAAAGAATGAAAATCGTTCGGAATAATGAGGTGTCTCACATTTATTGTAATTTGAACGGTTACTTGTAGCGTGGCATCCTCTCTGCAGCCCAATTCTTGTGTTTCCCACCGAAAACATGGCAGAGAATAACAATACGAAAA